ATGTAGTTATCGTCGCACGTATCGAATTTGAAAAATTTTTATTTTAAAGATTTTTTTAGCCGGGTTAAAACAAAAAAAAAAAACAGTAAGAATAGTGAGAAAATTTTCAATCAGTCACCATTTTTTTGAAAATTAAAATTTTCAGAATTCCGTACGTGCGACGATAACTACTTCCTTACTGATTAAAAGCAATTTGGGTTTTTATTTTCAGATGATCCGTTTTTGAGTTCTCGAATCGACCATGAAGGGAGAAATTTTTTCTAGTACTCTACGAGATTGTTAATAACTTTGTAATAATTAAATATTTTTTAATCAAAATTTAGGGTAATAATCTTTAATGTACCCTGAATAAAATAAAAAAAATCCGATCCCCAAATTTGTTTGTTTTCCCTGTCAAAAAAATTCCCGAAAATCATCTCTTTTTTTCGATCGTCACAGTGGTGTTCCCCCTTAATTTGACGTATATAACATTGAAATTTAGACCATTATTAGTTATTTTATCAAAGTTAAGAGTTCTATTGAACCATTTTCAGGCAATGTGTAATACAACCTACTTATGTATGTTAAAATAAATTTGATTCCATGTCAAACGAAAGTTATTGAGACAAGATAATTTATTCTATAAAATCTACCTTTCATTTCGGGTATGGCCGAATGGCGTCTTTTTTTTGACTTCTTGTTATATAAAATTTATCAAAAAGTCAACAGTTTTTTATGTGACGCTTGAATTATTAAAAAAATTAAATTATTTAATTTAAAATTAGGTACGCCATCATCCCAATCATCACGTGAAACATCTCGGGACCCATCTCCTACTCAATATCTTCACAATCAATATCGTCCTCAACTGACAAGACCACCAATGCCACCAATAAACGGGCAACAGCCTCATGATCCACCGGGACCAGTCCACTCTTCGGTATTTCAATCCCAGCCTCCAAGATTCCCACCGGGTGTCATTAAACCACAGGATCCGCGTCAACAGCAGCCACCAGTGGCTCCTGGGACCCAGATAACCCAAGATCAGCCTCAGTTGAACGACCAGAGACAGCCGCCAGTAAATGCAAATCAACCTAGCCATCTAAATGTTCTTCCATACTCTAGCAACCAACAATACCTACCGCCACAGCAACAGCAGCAGAATAACAACTTCAGTCAAGGGTTAAACAACCAAGCTGGTCCCTTGCAATACTCTAGGCCACCAAATCCAAATCCTCCACCATCTGCAAGTTTATTCAACAAAAATCAAGGGCAAAGTTTACCAACTGTCCCGCTAGTACCAAATTCACAGTATAATCTTAATAGTAATGTCAATCCGAACTTAACTATGGGACCGCCACGCCCGACACTGCCAACCGCTCAATTTTCTAACAATCAGCAGCACCAACTTCAGCAGCAGCAGCCTCCAATTCCAAAGCAGCAGTTAAATTATGGTAATCAGCAGATGGATCCAAGATTACCACCGACCAGCAACACTGCGCCGATTTATCCAACTCAAAATTACGGACTAAGTCAACAAAATTTAACTAGTCAGAAGAGGTATCCATCCGCTAATTTCAATCCAGTTCCTAGTGCTGGTGGTGTTACAAGTCCTACCAATGATAACTTGCCAAGAAGTGGACCGCCGCTTCCTGGACAAGTGGTAAGATTTATTGATAATAATTAAAAAAATTTTTTTTTTTTTAAGATAGGTGCACGAAAAGAATAAGATGATACTGGATATCATCCCAGATTATACTGAGTGAAAAAAAATTTCATATAGTAGCTAGTATAACCCAGATTACAATGAGTATAATCCAGATATCACGCAGCATAATTTGGATTTTTTTTAGCTACTATCTGAAATTTTTTTTCACCACAGATATCACTGAGTATATTCTGGGATGATATCCAGTGTCATCTTGTTCTTTCTGTGTGGGAGTTAAATTGATTTAAAAATTTCAGACAAGTCCGTATGACAACAGACAAGGTTATTACGGTCAAATGTCAAATGTACCCTTGGACAATATGTCGAAAAGATATCCGTCGCAAATGACCGGTGGGGTTAATAACTATCAGAATGACATTAATCAATTAAATACTCAGATGAGTAGAATGGACGTTGTGAATTCTGGTTTCAATTCAATGTGGAATCATCATTCGATTGATTTATTACAAAACAGAAATATTTTGCCAGCTGATAAAATTGAAGCACCTATTATTAAGTTGCCGCAAGAAGAACTGGAAGCTGTTAATTGTAGTCCTGAGTAAGTATAATTATTTTCTGTTGATATATAAGTAAGCTACAGGGAATATAAGTATGCGACAAGTATTACAAATTTTTATTTAAATAATATTACTACAGTCAGTTTTTTGTGATTTAATTGAACAAAATATAAAGCAGAAGAAAAAGATAAAAATATTGAGATTATTAGAGCGGCAGAAGAGAATACAAGAGCCTGCTATATGTTATTGTGTCAGATGCGAACTCGAGTAGATATAATAAAAATTGATACAAA